CCTCACGGCTCAGAGGAAAGATCACTCCAACCCTCCACCTTCGAGTGGCATTCTCCCCGCGTCTCTGCCTTCACGCGGCCTTCCTCTTCCTTACAAAGGCAGCAGTCAGATGGGATTAGGGGCCCTCCTTCCTCCGGACGACCTCATCTTAACAAACGACATCTGCAATGACCCTATTTCCAAATAAGGCCTTATTTTGAGGTAAATGGAGTTAGGACTTCAATATAGCATTTTTGTGGGATGTGGGGAGATCAGCAACATTAGTTGGGAATTTCTTTAAAATGCAAATTTGTGGGTACCACTCTAGACCCACTGAATCAGAAACTCTGGAAGTGCGGGCAATTGATAATGTATATTTTAACAAGCCTTTCAAGTGATTCTGATACATGCTGAAGTTTGAGAACCACTATTTTAAAGCATACTGTGTATTTGAAAAATCATTTTGGAATGCTAAGTGCATATCTTGCCCTTAACCTTAATCTCTGACTGTATTCATCCTATGCTTGTTTCTCCCACAGTCGTGAGCAACTAATACTTCCTGCTTACACAAACAAACAAACAAATAGATAAATACATATTTCTTTAGTAGGCTAGAATCTGGAGGTCTATACAGTCCACACATGGCCTTTAGATAGGTTTTATCTGTCCATGAACACTGTGAACTAATTGCCAACATTAAAAACCTAGATTACAGAGTTTTCCTGAAAAAAAGAAAAGGCAAGATCTGGCAATCACCGTATGGAAAATCCCACACTGCAACAATCAGCTGATTGGTGGCTGCCTCTTTGAAGTGGGGTTCCAAGTAGCCACAGGCCGCACCATTCCCTAATGCCTCCCTGACCTGGGGGCTTTATGCAGGACAACCTCGCACATTTACATAGTCTACATGGCTCCTAAAAACATTTAGATCTAAACCACGCTGGAGAGAGGGAAGCTAGATAAAAAAATGCACCCTTACCCACAGCCTGAAATACTTCATTGTTGCTGGGCAGCAAGTTTAGAAACGGAATTTCAGAAGCCAGTGTCTCTGATTAGCACCAACGTTGAGTTCTGGGAATTTTGTTTCACTTTTCATCAGGTAACAAGGCAAGTTATGAAATGACTACAGCACGGAAGATCAAAGTTTTATAGTGCCTTGCTGTGCAACCACATGTGGGTGAGCTGTAACATGGCAAAGGGAGATTTTGTATCTGCACGACTTCAGGAACAATGAGGTGTGGAGGACATGAGGTCGTGATTTTGAGCTGTCACGTGTGCCTCCTTCATGTATAGGCTCTGCTGAGCTCTGACAGCAGACCTGCTGTGAAAACATTATTGCCCAGGGAAGCAAGTTGGGGGGAAAGTCATTCTTTAAAACTACTTTCAGGATTTACACAAATTTTAAAGGACAGATCTGGAACTAGGTTTGACAACTGTCTTTAAGGCAGATGCCATTTGTCTGCCTTAAGCGTGGAAAATGCCTTTGTCTCAAATGGCTTTTGTACAAAGGACAGAAAAGATACCATTTCCGTACCTCACCCAGGACACTGGGGGCAGTTCATGAAAAAGGGAGTGGACTGGCGATTTGGGGTCTCTTTATCTCAGCGGTGAGGATGGGCCTGGAGTTCGGAGGCGAGAATAGCAGAGACGGGCACAAGTCTCCAGCGAGGGCACCAGCTTCATTAGTGGGCACTGGGAAGCTACACTCACCATGGAGTTCTTCCACAGGCAGTAAATCAGAACAAGAAATCGGATGAATGACCACTGTAACATCATAGGGTTATTTTATGACAAGTTCCTAAATTTTATTCTCTCCTTAACCACAGCTGTACCTCGGCATTCTTAAGAAAGAACAGAGGAGATAAAATATGCATTGATGACGAAATCGTCCTTTAAAGCTGTTAGAATTTAGACCTGTAGGTGGAAATGGGGTTCTATGGCAAGTAAACATCACAGAGTGATCTGACAATTCCTAATGAGGCAGGTTATGGTGGGTACTCATGCCCCAGACCCATAACTTCTTCTTTTAAGATTTTATTTATTTATTCTTAGAGACAGGGGAAGGGAGGGAGAAAGAAAGGGAGAGAAACATTAATTGATTGCTTCTTGAATGCACCCCGACCAGGGACCTGGCCCGCAACTCAGGCATGTGCCCTGACTAGGAATTAAACTGACGACCTTTCCCTTTGCGGGGCAATGCCCAATCAACTGAGCTACACTGGTCATGGCAGACCCATAACATCTTTAGTAAAAGGTTTATCGTTGCCTTAAGCAAGTCCTGTCTGTTGCTTTTATGCATCTAGGTTAACACACCTTTGAAATAAGCATAACCACCTTCAACACAGCACATAATCTTCCCGTGGGGGAGGGGCCATCTCCTGAGGCCTCTCTTGCTGCTTCTAATAGCTGCTTTTGGTAAGTTTGCTCAACTTTTATTCAAGGTCACCACACATTGACCTATGTAATGTGAGCCAGTATGCACATACTAGAATGGTTACAACTAAAAAACAAATACTGATTAACACTGAGTGCTAGTGGAGGAGCTGGAACTCTCATCCTTGGCTGGAGGGGCTGAAAAATGGCCAGCCACTTTAGAACACAGTTTGACTGTGTCTTATAAAGTTATACATACACTTACCACACAACCTAGCAATCCCACTCATAGGCATTTACCCCAAGGCAACGAAAACTTAGGTTCACGCATACGTCTGTGTGATTGTTTACTGCAGCTGTATTAATGGTCGCCAAATACTAGAAACAACCCAAATGTCCTTCAATAGGTGAATGGATAAACAAAAATCATGCAGTGAAGTACTATTCAGCAATAAAAAGGAGCACAGAACTCAGGTACAAATCTCAAAAGCATTATGCTGAGTGAACAAAGCCAGTCTCAAAAGACTATATTCTGCATGAGTCGACTTATGTGACATTTTCAAAAGGACAAATGGATGGAGAATAGCTCAGTGGTTGCCTGGAGGTGGGGCTGGAGGTGGAGGGTGGGTGCGACCATAAAGGGGCTACTACAAGGGACTTAGGGAGTGACAGGACTGCTCTGAACCCTGATTTGGGGGGTGGCTCCACGCATCTGTGTGCTAACTTCCATAGACTTGTAGATCTCTCCTCTGACATCAGGTTTACTACATGATCACTTAAAATTTTAAAAAATCTAATCGGAAACGTAATTGTATGTCGCCACTTTAAGCGTAGGATACATGTGCCTAATGGGAAATATCTCTGGAATGGAGTCAGTCCACAGGAGCTGAATCCAGAATATACACCCACGTGTGGGAACGAGGAGGGCAGTAGCTCATGGGCATCGTGTGTACCGTTAGGTATGTAAAGGGGGTGAGTGGCATTCTTGAGGTAATTCTCTGAAATGGCATAATAGTTGTGATCTGTAATGTTTCCTTACCAGGAACTTTGCCTTTGTGGTCTTGTACAACAGCCCTGAGGGAGGAAATTTAGGCTTAGAGATGGTAAAGGATTTACCCCAATTTTCACGTTGGTTCTTCCCGGTTCCCCACTAGCCACATAAAACCGCAGTGTGGATTACACACTGATTCCTCTTATTTCTCTGCTGTAGCTTGAGCAGGCCCCTTAATCCTCTGTGCTCTTAAAGTCTTGCTTGTCCTTTAAAGCAGTAATTGGGGAATTTTGCCCTCAAGAGACAGGTGGCAGTGTCTGGAGGCATTTTTGGTTGTCACAGCTGGAGGGGAAAATGCTTCCAGAGATGCTGCTAAACATCCTACAGTGTACAGGGTGGCTCCCTGAAAAAGAATTTATCCAGCCCCAAAAGTCACCAGTGCAGGGGTTGAGAACTTCCTGGTTCAAAGGAATGAAGGAAGGAAATATGTATTAAACATATCCATGAGCCAGATGCTGTACTAGGTATTTTTAAATTCTAATCTCCTCAAGACTCTTTTGAGATAGGTACTATTAACCCCAATTTACAGTTAAGAAGGTTGTTGTTCAGACGCATAAAGCAATGTGCCTGAACCCCAGCGATGAGACAAGAAGCTGTGAGGGCCCAGAAGTCCTGCAATGTGGTGTCGCGGGATCCGCTGGACCCTCTGTTAACCTCCCTCACTTCCATCTCCTCTAGTCTCAAAACTCACCTCTTAGCCCTAAGGGATGTGCAAACAAGGGGAGCTGTGGGGCTGGCAGAAGAGAAAATCTGAATTCTAGAGGTTCTCAGGAAACGAGTGGGGGAGGTTCTCTATCACTGAGAACTCCCCAGGCCTGGTTTGTGACCAGCCCCCTTTTGCATCACCCATGCCCCCACCCTAACGGCACCAATGTCTCTCCTCCCTCCAAAGGGCCCAGAGACATTCCCAGCCCGGCGCTCTAGGACCGCTTCCTCTCCTCTCCCGCCAGCCTGTGCTGCTGGACAGGTCACCAAGAGTGGAGCACGCAGATAGCAGCTGGGGTCAGGGAGACAGTCACAGAACAACATGCTGCAATCAGTTTCCTACAATAACATCCGATGGGCAGGGTGTGTCTCAGACACTAAGCAAACCTTTTTAAAAACAAGTTTCATAATCACCTCTGAGTGATTCTGGTTCAATTTGACCCTTTCACATAATGAGTACTGACCGTTCCAACAGTTGAAAAGGTGGGCGCGGGGGTGGGGGGGTGGGTAGTGGGGGTGGGGGATGGTGTTTGTGTAAGATAGAGGGAGGAGGGAGGACAGGAGAAGAGAGGAAGAAAGAGAATAAAGAAAGAAGTAGAGAAGGACAGACACTTAAAAGCTTAGCATTAAACTCAGAAAACAAATGACTTCAAAATAAAAGAAGAACTCTAAGGCTGAGGGACCCTCCTGCAAATCAGATGGTCTTCGAAATTACTCCAGATAACTGCACCTAGGCCTCTGGGCAGGCAACACATCCTAGTTCTCGGACTTGGCAAAGCAGAGTCAGTTCCTGACCAGGCTCCGGGCCTGGCCTCTCGCTAACCCGCCTTCACTCTGCCCCCTCCCTCCCCCAGCCCCCCAGGCCCTCCACAGCCCTGCAGACAGCACTCACAGTTCCAAAATCAGGATGACGTCCGTCTTGTTCTCGTACACCTCGTGCAGGGTAATGACGTTGGGGTGCTGTATCTCCTTCAGGATGCTGACCTCCCGCTCGATGTCCTCGCGGCTCACGCCCCGGCGGCTGGATTTTGTCCTCCTTTTCTTGATGAATTTGGCGGCATACTGCAGACCGGTGCTCTTCTCGCGGCATTTCTTCACCACTGCAAACTGCCCGCTGAAGAAGGAAGGGCACGGGTCATTGATACATTCTTTTTTGTTCACTAAAAAACAAGATTTGAGCAAGGATGTGCCAAGCGGGGAGGGGGAGCAGTGGAATTGTGAGTAGAAAAGTTCAAATTATGGACAATTAACCCAGTAAGTAGGGATATTTCTTATTACAGTTCAGTTTCATTAATGCCATTTTTAAAAACATTTTGCAATTTTTATTTTTTTATTGTGGTTTTATTACAGTTGTCCCAATTTTCCCCGGTTGCTCTCCCCTGCCCTGCCCATGCACCACCCCCAGCCAGTCCCCACCCTGCTGTCCATGTCATGGGTCACTTATACTTCATGGGTCAGTTATACTTGTTCTTTAACTAGGCCCTTCCCCTTCTTTCCTCCTTTATTACCTGCACCCCTCCCCCCACCCTGGTCGCTGTCAGTCTGCCCCTTGTTTCCAAGCCTCTGGTTCTACTTTGCTCATTTGTTTGTTTTGTTCATTAGGTTCCTATTATAGGTGAGATCATTTGCCTTTCGCTGCCTGGTTTACTTCACTTAGCATAATACTCTCCAGTTCCATCCATGCTGTCACAAAACGTAGGAGTTCTTTCTTTCTAATCAGTTTCTTTATGAACACTGTTGCGAGGGATAAAAATTATTTTCTTGAGTTATGTTTTGTTGAATGGGTATTAATGCTTCCACCTCTGTGCTGGCCTCCTTCCCTCCCATTCCAGATTCGGGGGACAGTGGGAGGGAGTTCCTGGATCGGACCTCACTTCCAACACACTCTTTTCTTATATGTTTAGGAAAACAAGAGGTAGAGACCAAGGAATTGGTAGAAAAATATATAGAGCCCTGATTCTGATGACATATTCCTAGCACCAGTCAGTATTTATCAATTGAAACACCCCCCCTAAAAAACTGAACGACAACAAAAAAAGCTGTATATTTTTTTCACACTTTGGGAACTGAGAAGCCCTATGTACTAGACAACGGCTGGTTGCTTCTCCAACATCACCACCCACCCTCCTCTTCTTCCTTTTCCAATACTGACTCCACCTACAACTATAGATAAAAGATCACGTGACCTAAGCTAAGCCAATCAATGCACTTTATCTTCCTGGCTCCAGTGATAGGCACCTGACCTAAGTAAGAACTTCCAGAGAATGTTTAGACAAAGATTTTTTCTGAGACTCGTTGATCCCCTCAAAGCTGCTACCAGACACCTTGGGACCATGTCGGGAGTCACTCTTGGTTTAAAGCCAATCACTACAGCAGAAACAGCCCACCGAAGGAAGAAAACTAGGTGTGTGGTAGCACTGTGGAGGGGTGTAGGCCAACCCTAGCCTGAAGCCAACTACCTTTGGGTTTTTCAGTTTGATCTGTGTTTTCTATTTCTTGCAGAGAAAAGCATCCTATCTATCCTATACCTTAGCAAACAACCAGAGCCTCCTGTGCATATATAAAAGAATATAATAAGATAAGTTGATAAAATAAAACAAAACGTGGATATAAGTAAACAAGTGGGATAAGTGGGTGAGGTATAGAGAAAAAAGTCGGCTATCTGAATGTAAGTGAAACACAACAGCAAGATGCTTCCTCTATCGACCCTTATTTCTCGCCTAGTGCCCAAGGCAGGGTTGATCCACCCGTTATCACAGGATCGGTACATTTCTTGGCACCTGCTGGAGAACTGCTATGTAGAGCATTATCACGGTTATTTTTAGCTAGTTTTATTCTCCTCACATGCAGACAAAAGCGGGGAGAGAAAACCAAATTAAGGGTAATATTTTGATGCTAAAGAATGGATACTTTAAAATGTTAGTCATTTACTTTAGCAGCAGGAGGCCAGTGAAGAAAAAAAACCATAGTGAAGGATTATTTTTATAGGAGTGTCAAATTTTTTGCATGACAGGTTATTAATACCCTCTTTCCCCCTGCAGCAGGATAGCAGAGAAGTCGGAGTATAAATCACACTGGAATGCTAGCACGCATTGCCTGTAAACTCACGACCTTAAAGGGCCATGGGATCTACTACGACGTTATTCCAACCATTTGCTAATTTCTCTGGGGAGGGGAAGACCTGGGTTTTCTGTCTGTTGAGGGTAGGGAGTGGGCAGCAGAGATGGGCTTCCTAGAGAAAAGAAGGAACACAGTCCCACTCCTCACAAAGATGGTATCATGTCCCCACTGAGGGCCCTCAAGGGGCCCCAGGACAGGGAGGAGGCAGTGTGCCCCGTGCAGGGTGGGACCTTCACACCACACATGACTGTGCTTCCAGGGGTCAGGCCAAGATGCCTCTCACAGGCCACAGTCCCAATGACTTGCTTCAGGTGCTGTAAACACTCAAGGCAGACTCTGTGGTTTGAATGACTTTGCTTAAAAAAAAAACCAACACAAAACCAAAGTGCCAAAAAAAAGTCTGCAGGCAAACCACAAAGAATATACATGCAAGCCTAAATGTAAAGACTATCTGAGTGTGTTTTCGGCCAAATGTTCCACTGTTGACTGTTTCCCCCTTTTAATTAAGGGAAGGTGAGGACATTAAGGCCCAACAACCCCAATGGCCGAGTTATGGTGAGTTCCAAACGTGTGTGTTGAGGCCAGCAGTGTGTGCACAGGTCAAGGCGCACTATGCAGCCCAGGTTTGCAGCGAAACATCTGGAACGCCATTTTCTTACTCACACTTTGCGGTTCCCCTGAGGGGGGAACTAGCAAGAGAAGAAGGGCTAAGGGGTCAGCAGATGGGACAGACCCCACCCAGAAGTGGGATTCTAATGCTGAATAACTATAAGACTTTGTCCAGGCTAACTCTGGCTCCAGGGCGTCTGGAATGATTATGAGGGACACTTTCTAGGCCCATCTCAATGCCATCTCTTTAACGACACCTTTCCTTATTTATCTCTGACTCCCCAACAACCTGCCCCCGTCTCCTTGCTCCAACCAGCACTCTTTCCCATGCCCAAACCCACAGAGCATCCCAGACCCTTCTGGGTACTTGCTGTTTTCTGTCTGTTTCTTGGCCATTTCCGTCCCTCCCAAGACTAATTCCTTGTCGACCAAGGGCTGCCAGGGGCATCTTTCTATCCCCAGGGGCACTGGGCGTAGGGCTCCTCCAGGAGCTCATACAAGTGCTGACTTGCTGCCCTTCTATTCTGAATCTATAATCCTAAAAACCAGGTGTAGTTGAAGATGCTTCATTGTAATTCAATAACTGTGGAGCTCAGGGTACAGACTGCCTGTGTTGGAGCCTTGGTTCCACCACCTATTAGCCATGTGACTGTGGGCTTACTATTTAATGCTTGGTGCCTCAGTTTCCTTATCTGCAAAGTAGGCATAGTGATAGTGCCAGCCTGGGGGGGCAGCTGGAGTAGAAGGGAAAGGTTTAAATGAGCTACAGTGCATACAGTGGTTAGAACAGTGACTGGCTGTAAGTCTTCCATAACGGTTAGCTTTGAGGAACCTTCGACAACTAGAGTTATTGTCATTAGCAGCTCGTGGTTGCTTCAATCCCCAAGTGTTGCAGTATAACCCCCCAAATATCACCTCTCATGACTGCCTAGGGAAAAAACCCTAAAAGGAAAAACAAAGAAAGCTACACAGCTGAAGTGTGTAGAACTTTTGCTAAAGTTGGCCACTGGCTTCCACCGTCAAACCCATTATCGGCCCCTTCGTTCTCTTGGCCCCACTCAGAGGGAGTCCTGAGGCGGACTGGCGCTCACTGCAGCTGGGGCCTTTGGGCTCTCACCTGGGAACGCAGTCACTGCGAGCCCACGGGCTGGCAGGACACCCACGTATGGCCCATGGGGGCGAATGTTCCCAGTGCAACCTCCACAGGCAGCCAGCAAACTGAGGACAGGCGCCTTGGAGAAGAAACTTGTCTCTAAGAACAGTAATTTTCTTTGAGAGGCCTAATTTGAGTTGGACTGTTGGCTAATTGCTGCTGCCATCCTTTCCTTCCTGGGCAGCTGGCCCATCCCCCTCCCCCTGACCACTGACAACTGAAAAAAAAGATTTGTTCATTTTTTTTTTTTTTTTTGGCAAAGGCTTCTACATCATGAGTTCCCAGAGCAACAACATGACATCGCTTCCAGGGTGAGCTGTGAGCAGGGACGAGAAAGTGCACACAGAGAAACAAGGCCATCTATGCAGTTCACTTGGGGACTGCCTGTCACCCCGGGCCCCCTCTCTTGTTACAAACACTTGTGGCTCCTCAGTGACTGACACCCAGCTGCAGCACTGGTTTAGTGGGTGGGGGAATGTAGCTTCCTTCCTGAAAAATAGAAACTCACTGTATACTATAATTGAATTGACGAAACAAGGGTAAAGGTGATCCTCATTTTCTGCAGGATCCCTATTTGCAAATTCACCTACTCCCCAAAATTTATTTGTAAACTTTACAGTCAGCCCTTGGAGTGCTTTCACGGTCATCTGCAGATCTGAGCTGCCCGAAGGAGTCGGTCAAGGCAACACTCTGCCTTCTTGTTTCAGCTACCATACTGTAAACAAGTGTCCTTTCTGTGGTCTGTTTAGTGCCTCTTTTTTTTTTTTTTTTGCATTTTGTGCTATTTATAATTGCCCCGAAGCACACTGCTAAAGTGCTGTCCAGTGTTCCTAAGTACAGAGGCTGTGTTGTAACTTCAGAGAAAATAACGTATGTGTGTTAGATGAGCTTCATTCTGGTGTGACTAGCAGTGCTGTGGGCTGTGAGTTCAATGTTAATGAATTAACAATATATATTAAATACGGAGCCTTTAAACAGAAACACATAACACTGGGTTATGTATAGATCTACTGTCAAAAAGATTGGGATCAGACGCCTGTAGGAACCTAAACCCTGTATTTTCTCCGAGACCAGTGGCTCAGTGTTTGCTAATTCTGTGTTTGTGGTGAATTTATAGAATATGACTACCATGAATAATGAGAATCAGTTGTATGTTGTTTTTTAAAAATGCACTACACTCTGTTCTCTTAACAACTGACAGAACAGTTTGTCGCACTAAGTACAGACAGCCA